GGCTCACGTTCAACAGGCTTTCTCGTACAGCCCAGGACCACCTGCCTAGGAATGGCGCCACTCACAATAGGCTGGGCTCTCCTGCATCAATTAACAACCAAGGTCATGCCCCACAAACAGGTCCACAGGCCAATCTGATCTAGACAGCTCCTCACCTGAGACTCTCCTTTTAGATGACCTTAGGGTATGTCAAAATGACAAGGCTGCACAGGACAGGTGTCTGGGCCCCACATTCTGATCTGCTCATCCCACGATGGACAGGATGTTTCCCTACACTGCTGCTGAAGACACGGACACCATAGTGACTTTTGTTGTTGTCACTAAGACAGGTTCTCACCACATTCTGATCTGCTCATCCCATGATGGACAGGATGTTTCCCTACACTGCTGCTGAAGACACGGACACCATAGTGACTTTTGTTGTTGTCACTAAGACAGGTTCTCTGTGTAACAGCCCTCGGTGTCTTGGTACTCTTTGTAGAGGAGACTGGCCTCGAACTTACAGAGATCCACCTGCCTCTGCCTCCCAAGCACTGGGACTAAAGAATGTGCCACCACACCCAGCTCTGTAGTGACTTTTCTATGTCACACAGCCCAGCTAAGTCAACAGACTTGGGACCATCAGTCACTCCACACAAGGGCAGGTAAGAAAGAGCAACCCCTCGTTAGTCTCTTCAAGCCAACAAGGTAAGATACTCAGCACTTTATCACAAGGTCCCCAACGGAGATGTCACCCCCACACACACTTTTTTTAAAGACGATTTGAACCTTAGACAGTCTCCTGCAGACTGTTACCTCTGCACAGTCCTACCTGGTGCCACTGGAGGTAATGTGTCAACATGAGCCATCCTCCCTGGGAGCAAAGTCTCCCTGCAGAAGTCTGCTTCCAGGCAGTTTCCACATTGGAAGCAACTCTGCCAAGAAAGATAATCAGTGAGGTCCTTGTTTTCACTCAAGGACACAGGAGTTGACTCTGAAGGTAAAGCTATCGTAGAAACCATTAATTTCCAAGCAGATAAGGGAGGATCAAAGTCTTGAGGCTCCTGTGTAGCCCGGGTGCAGGAACCAGAGACTACTGTGGGGGTTGGCAAAAGTCATCTAGACGTGACTAGGCATAAGGTTCCTTTTGCTTTGCTCTCCCCCCCCCCTTTTTGAGACAGGGATGCACTTAGGAACCCTGGCTAGAGTGGAACTATGTAGACTAGGCTGGCCCTTAACTCACAAACAACCATCTGCCTCTGCATCCCTAATGCTCGGATTAATGGCGTGCAGCACCACACACAACTTTAATTTTTAAATATGTGTCAGTGTGTGTGTGTGTGTGTGTGTGTGTGTGTGTGTGTGTGTGTACCTGTGAGTGTAGGTGCCCACAGAGGCCAAAAGAGAGTATTGAAGCCGCTAGGGCTGGAGGTACAGGGGAATTGTCTTTGTGAGGCTGGAGTACAGACGGGAGTAATAAAACTTTCCTATTGCATGGAGGGGCCTGGGTTTGATCCCCAGAACAACACAAAATAAAAATAAGAGCTTTTTTTTCTGCTTCCTGGATTATAGTAGCAAAATTATTATTAAAGGCACCCAAATTCCGACAGGAAGGGTTGTGTGCCTAGATTTCGGTTCATCAAACAAGCACTAGTGGGGCTGGAGGGATAGCCCGCCTTTAATCCCAGCGCACAGGAGTCAGAGGCAGGCGGATCTCTGTGAGTTCGAGACCAGCCTGGTCTACAGAGTGAGTCCCAGGACAGCCTCCAAAGCTACAGAGAAACTCTGTCTCAAAAAACAAAACAAAACAAGGATTAGGCCGGGCGTTGGTGGCGCACGCCTTTAATCCCAGCACTCGGGAGGCAGAGGCAGGCGGATCTCTGTGAGTTCTAGGCCAGCCTGGTCTACAAAGTGAGTTCCAGGACAGCCTCCAAAGCCACAGAGAAACCCTGTCTCGAAAAACCAAAAAAAAAAAAAACAAGGATTAGTTCTATTAGTTCTCGAGAATGTACTTAGAGACTCACACATGCTCAGCAAGAGATCTGCTGCCGAGACATACTAGCCCGCAAACTACCTTATTTATCTGTCTGTCTGTCTGTCTGTCTGTCTGTCTGTCTACTGTCTATCATCTGTGTGGGTGTGTGTGAGACAGAGAGAGAGAGAGAGAGAGAGAGAGAGAGAGAGAGAGAGAGAGAGAGAGAGAGAGAGAGAGAGAGAGAGAGAATTTCTATAGCTCCTGTAGAAATCAGATGAGTCGGCTCTCTTCTGCCACCTTGTGGCATCTGGGATGTAATTCAGGTTGTCAGGTTTGTGGGCAAGCACCTCTACTCTCTGAGCCTTCTTGCTTCTCATCCAACCCAAATAATATTCTTAAACTAGGGTCAGGGCATGATGGCACACACCTTTAATCCCAGAACTCAGACAGCAGAAGAAGAAGGAGGAGGAGGAGGAGGAGAAAAAGAAGAAGAAGAAGAAGAAGAAGAAGAAGAAGAAGAAGAAGAAGAAGAAGAAGGAGGAGGAGGAGGAGGAGGAGGAGGAGGAGGAGGAGGAGGAGGAGGAGGAGAAGAAGGAGAAGGAGAAGAAGAAGGAGAGGAAGGAGAGGAAGGGGAAGGAGAAGGAGAAGAAGAGGAAGAGGAAGAAGAAGAAGAAGAGAGAGAGAGAAAGAGAGAGAGAGAGAGAGAGAGAGAGAGAGAAATTGAGGGACTTGGAAGCACATATTGTGTTCTGTTCCCTTGCTCCTGCAGGAGAAAACCCAGCAGCCATTGCCCTTCAAATGCAGGGGCTGCCCTGGGACCCCTCTCCTCTTACTAGGTTCCACGGCTACATTTTCACAAGCATGTATATACTTTTTTTTGGTTGTTTCCAGACAGGGTTTCTCTGTGTAGCTTTGGAGCCTGTCCTGGAACTCACTCTGTAGGCCAGGCTGGCCTCGAACTCACAAGACATCCGCCAGCCCATGCCTCCAGAGTGCTAGGATTAAAGGCGTGCGCCACCCCCACACAGCCATGTATATACTTTTAAAAACTTGTTATGACTCTAACAAAAGGGCTAAAATATTCTAGTTGTACTTCCTCCCCTGGTTCTCAAGACAGTTGGGACATCCAGCCCAGAAGTCGCTGGCTAGACAGTGAACACACAAGGAAGAAACTTCCCAGACCTGCCCAAGGCGTGCAGATGGTGACACCAGAAGCAGTGCACTGTTGCTGTAAAGATGAAATGTCAGCTTCGGGCTGGAGAGATGGCTCAGAGGTTAAGAGCACTGCTTGCTCTTCCAGAGGTCCTGAGTTCAATTCCCATCTGTAATGAGATCTGGTGTCCTCTTCTGGAGTGCAGACACACATGGAGGCAGGATGTTGTATTCATAATAAATAAATCTTTAAAAAAAAAAAAAGAAATGTCAGCTTCTTGGTGCCAGAGCTCCAGGCACAGAGGGTGAGGACAGAGCTAAGGCATGAACTGGGTACCACTCCTTCCATCTCTGCATCTCTCAGGCCGCCTCTAAAATGCTCCAGCATGCATCTGCAGGGGGCTGCTGGAAACCACCTCCTGGAGAGGGTAGGACACCATTGGCGTTAGCTCCCCATTCCAAGCCAGAACTGGAGAGACAGAAATGAAGCATTGGGTCATTATTGGAACACTGGGTCATTGAGGACTTAGGGGGGAAAAAAGAAAAATGTTCTGTTTTCCCTGACTGGACTATGTCTGAGGAACTGGAGCCCTGCTGGGGGGCTTAATGAACAGGCTCTGGACACATTATCATGGCTGGTCCAAATCGGGAGCAACTTTTATTTGAAGGCAGTTAATGTACTAAGCCTCAATTCCCCCATTGTTTTGTTTTGTTTTGTTTTTTTGATTGTTTGAGAGAAGGCTTTTACCCTGAAATCCAAGCTGGTTTTGAACTCACGGCAGTCCTCTATCTCAGTCTCCCCAGTGCTGAGAAGACATGACTGAGCCACCACGCCTGTCTGTACTTGAACCACAGGTGCCACATGTGATTAGCAACTTAAGACAAGTGAAAGCTCTGCTCTCCCTAAGATTATTTGACTGCATTAAATAAGGTTAGCAGAGGGACTTTATTGTAAGCACACTTTTCATTACAGTTGATTTATTATTTATTTATTGTATATGTATGTGTGTGCTATACAACACACACATGGAAGTTGGGTCACCTTGCAGAAAGTGGCTCTTTCCTTCCACATGTGAGGTCCAGGGATCAAACTCAAGCCGTGAGACTTGGTAGCAGGCATCCTTGCCCACTGAGACATCTAACAAACCCATAGGCACAAGTTTCAATGTTTATTTTTCCAACAAATATGCTAAGATGTTGGAGGCCAGGCATGCTTGACAGCTGCCAGACTGTTACCTGGTGCCTGTGTGCTTTGCATGGAGGACTCTCCAGCAAGCATCCAGCTGGACAACCATCAGGACAGCCTGGGTTCTCTGGACACACCATAGACAACACAGGGAAACCGTATATACAGTAACCACAGACTCTTGCAGCTCAAGTGTAAATCTGGCCTCTGCCTCAGCTAGGATTGGTGAAGAAAGCTCACCCCAGGGCAGGAGACATGACTTAGAGGTTAAGAGCATTGGCTGCTCTTCCAAAGGTCCTGAGTTCAATTCCCAGCAACCACAACCATCTACAATGAGATCTGATGCCCTCTTCTGGCCTGCAGGCAAGCATGCAGGCAGAACACTGTACACACAATAAATAGACAAATAAGAAAATAAATAAATGTTAACAGAAGAAAGCTCACACCAGGTAGTGGTGGCACACACCTGTAATCCCAGCACTTGGAAGGCAGAGGTGGATGGATCTCTGTGAGTTTGAGGCCAGCCTGGTCTACAGAGCGAGTTCCAGGACAGTCAAGACACAGAGAAATCCTGTCTCAAAAAAAGCAAAAAAGAAAAGCTCGTTCTGGATCTTTCTGCCATCAGCAGCCTTGGTAAAGTCTACGCCACACAGCCTTGGTAAAGTCAGAGAGGGATTATGTCCTCTGTGGTGGCTCATCTGATGCCCAGAGCTAATGCAACACCCTTAAGCAATCTCCTTTCTGACTATGTAAACTGGCCATTTAGCCCACTTTTTGAGTCAGCCTAGAGATGCCCCCGTGCTTCCACTGGTGATGGAACATTTAGGACCAGCCAGGCATTGGTGGTACACGCCTTTAATCCCAGCACTGGGGAGGCAGAGGGAGGCGGATCTCTGTGAGTTCGAGGCCAGCCTGGTCTACAGAGCGAGTTCCAGGACAGCCTCCAAAACAATACAGGGAAACCCTGTCTTGAAAAACCAAAAAAAAAAAAAAAAAAAAAAAAAAAAAAAGTGGAGTGCCAGGGAACCAGGAAGGCAGAGAT